TATATGATGTAGGAATGATTTCTCCTTATGCATATTAAAGGGTTGGAAAGTTTCAGCAGATTATTGTCTCCGCACGTAATATGTTACAGTGTGATGGAAAATTATGGCTGTATAGGAACACAGAAAGAATTCAGTTTAGAAATGTGACAGCAAACCCATAAAAAAGGGATGAAGCCACACATGGAGTGCTATTAATTTTGTTAGGATAATGTGCAAAGGCTGAGAGGCTGACAGGTTGTCACAAAGAGATAAATAACAACACAAGCTCAAACTTACACTGATGGTCAATTTTGATTCACTAGCTAACCCAACAAGCACGTCTTTAGAAGGTGTGAGGAAACCAGATGAGTCATAAAAACAACACAGGCAACAGGGACAATATTCAGGCTCTGCACAAAGCTGGCTGAACCGTCGCTGCTGACATTCTGTGTGGTTTTTATAGAATCGCCATTCTGCTCTGAGAAAATTAACTGACTCAGAACTGTGATTAAATTCAAATTAGAGGAGTTGCACTGGTTTGGGAACAGGCAACCTGATTTTATCACTTTCATATGATTATTTATATTTCTATAAAATTAAAAATGTTAATTAAATATGTTTTTATTATGTAAAGAGTAAAACAATAAATCATAAGTGAAGCAAAGGTTTGAAAAACATGTTTTGTTTTGTTTTTTGCAACCCATTGATTAAAGGTATGATTTTAATTTACTTATTTTTTAATAAAGTATATATTTCAAATGGTTTGTTATGAATCAAAACAGTTTGGAGTTATGGAATGTATTTAGAATTTAATATGCATCTACTAACAAGCATCAAGACCAATCATCCTGGTGTCAAAAATGTTTGCTTTTAACTTTCTCACTTCACTGATTTTTGGAAAAGATTTTTTAACCAAAATCTTGAATAATAAACAATCACTAGAGCAAGTTATGATTTCATTATAAGGGTGTTTTTGATGCTTTTAAAGCCTTCCGTTCCATATTGTGTGTAGTGCTCTCGAAAACACAATCCAGGTTTAAAGTACTGCTAAAAACGCCTGATGTGGCAAGCTAATGACATCAAAATGCAGATTGGAAGCTTTGGCACAAAAACACCTCTCACTTCAGTGACAACTGTGTGCTGTATCACACACACACACACACACACACACACACACACACACACACACACACACACATGCACACGATAGGCCCACACACACACAGACATAACAGAGGCAACCACTCCTCTCCTCACACAGTTTGCACAGTTAAATCAAACTG